GAGGACGAGGGGGGGGCGGGGGGCGGGAGGGGTGTCTATCACGTAATTTGCTATTTGCAAAAAGTGTCAAAGTCCAAAGAGAATTTATTGAAATTCGTTCGACGTGCAATTTTTTTTCCAAATTCACCGATACAACAGACTTTTGCATATTTTCCCCCGTTAAGCGTTAATCACATTAATCATCATTATCATTAATCATACAATCAGTGGCCTAGCGTCGCAAAGTCCTAGAATCGTAGAATTATAACACGTTAGACGTTTCTCTCTACTATCACCTTATACCGTAAATTACATTCTAAATCACTAAGTTGCTACGCGCTATAGGAACATCAATGACGTAGGATTTGGAATTGGATCCTAATCCTTATTTAGAGTCCAGGGCCGTAGAGGCAAAAATTTCCATCGATTGGTTCGCGATGCGTGAGAGCAAAATGAGGAGCGGGGTAGGAAGGGTAAAGGGCGTTGGGGAGGCAGAAAAGCATATATACAACGAAAACCAACAGCGCCATGGAATTTTCATGATAAAACGACACGACTGTACCCTCGAGTTAACCTGCGTTTTTCACTTGTTTATCCAGTCTTTCTTTTCCTCAATCTTTACGGTGACGCGTGCATCTTGGATTCACCAACGATAACTTCTTGTCAATTTTCTTATCGTCGATTGTCAAACTGCCTGACTGACAGCGAACGCGGACGTCCGGGCGTCGCGTCAACGATTGACGATCTAAAACGCACGTGAACAACGGGGAACGTGGAATCGGATCGACGCGCATGCGCAGATCGTATATTAGCATTACTAAATTGGGCGATGATGTTACGTAATTTGGCGATTAACGAAGGAATAACTTATACGCATAAAACTGCACGAGTTTAGTCAACAACTATGAGCGGTAAAATCGATCGCTAGGCATTTCCAAAAGAGAAAAAAAAAAAGAAAAAAAAATCGCTATATATATATATATATAAATAATCGCTCGCTGTATTAAATTGTGTACCTGCGATGTTTTCGAAATTCTATATACAGGACATTTGGTATGAGGATGTACGGGAGCCGTGCGATCGTCGAGTCGTTACGGAGAGTGACGTTTTTTTGGATTTTTTTTTTCAAAAATCATACAAGAGATGGTTTTTCTTTTTGGAAATTTTTTTAGATAATAAAAAATGGTAGGGATCGATATTCAATTATTTTGGCCCCTTTATAATCACTTCTTCAAGATTCACAATGAGAGACAAATCAACGAGTGGTCGTACAATCGATCGACAGACATTTGATGCCTGAACCATCCCTTGATATTACGTTGATCGATAATCGTATTCGAATTACGTCATTACCGGTGCGCAAGTCACCACGAGCCTTAACGTACGTGAGAAGCGAAGCTCGTTACTTGATGTAGTTTTCTTTCTTTCTTTGGTTGACAACAAAAGCAACGAGTGGGACAGAGAGGTCGAGGAAGAGGGGAACGCGCGGATATGAGATAGACGGGGAAACGAGAAAAGAGAGAAAATCAAACGGAAACAAGAGCGAGAGAAAGACTTTTTTAAAATTAAGAATAATTTACGACAAAGCGAATTATCTGACTTTCGTAAAATTCGACGATTTCGAAATTGGATAATCGTCGAACGAGAGAGACGAAGGTCTCAGTCTCTCCCTCTCTCTGTCTCTCTGCCGGTGCTCCCGTGAAATGCGCGAGCAAAGAAAGAGGGATGAGAACAAAAGATGAAGAAGAAAAAAAAACGAAAAAAAAAAAACGATATTAGCAATCGGGACTACCGAATGTGAAAACGCGAAGTTAGCGCCGATCGGACGCTGCGAATTGCCAATCGATCGATCGATCCGCTCCTGATTTCACACGGCTGTGGGAATTTCGTTAAAAGAATCGACGGAGAAAAAAAATGAAAAAAAAAAAAAAGAAGAGAAACAAACGTATACCCGTCTGCGGGAGAAAAGAAGACGGGAGAGGAGTCAGGTCGAAGAACAAGGAAGAGACGTTGAGAGACAGAGAGAGAGATAGGGAGAGGTAATGAGAAAGAGAAAAAAACAAATTAAAGATCAAACAAGCCAAAATTTATAAATAATAACTCTCTCCCCCTCCCCCCTCCTTCTCCACCGCCTCTCTCTCTCCCCCTCTCTCTCTCTCTCTCTCGCAATTCAACGATTCACATAATTGATCTCGACCCGACCGACACTCTTTTCTTCACGAGGAATCTCGCGATAACAAAGTGGGAATTCAATTCCCGTACGTCGAACGACGTGCACCCAGCGTCTCTCGCGAATTAATAATAAATACTCTTTAATAGTTACTTTTTATAAAACTCGAAAGTTACGACGACGCGGAACATATATTATACAGACATACACACAAACACACACGCGTATATATATATATATATATACACATATATATATACGGCGTATAAGAGACGTGCCTCACGTGCACACGTGGCGAGTTGTCATCGAATCGTCGACGCAGACTCTCGAGCTTAGTCTACATTAAATATCTTCCCGCTAGAGGTGATAGGATGACGGAGAGGATAGGGAATAATGAGGTGCAGGTCCGAGGTCAGGTTG